CAACATGTTTGGAGGCTATTCCATTGGGCGAGACAGTCCTGCACCGGGGTGGGCAACGTTGGAGGGGGCGCAATTCGGCCACCTAATCTGGAGGGCCACAGGAGGCCATCCAGGGGCATCGGCAAAGGGGCGGGGCCACCATTTTTCCCCCTTCCCTCCCCGAAGGGTTTAAGGGTGGGGAAGGAATTGCAAGGCCTTTGCACAGCCAACTGGTCCGTGGTTTATCCTTAACCCCCACCCAACTCCCCAAATTATTAATTGGGGGGCTGATTTGAAGATGCTTTTGCGGGGGGGGGGACTGGATTAAAGGAAGTGAGGAGCATGGAATGGAAAAGTATTGTGCCTAAATGTTATATCTCCTTGAAGCAAAATGTGTAAAAACCCTGATCTCTTTGTGTTCGGGGAGCCTCTTTTCATGAGGTATCCCCTTTACTGCTGCGCACCAATAAAGACATTTTGCTCTAAAGAGTTTCTCGTGTCCGGCGAAGTTATTGGCAGTCGTCTCCGGGCAAGAACCCCGTTCTGGGTCCAACAGAAGGCTTCACCTTTGCTTTGAAAACTCCTTCAGAACAACATTGCTCAGATTGGGCTATTTTGCCACTGAATGTGGGGGGCTCGATCAGCCACAAACCGGGGCCTGGAAAAAAGCCTGCGGGGTCCGTATGCAGGGGCGGGGAAGCCCCCAGCCACAGGGCAAAGTTCCCCCACCTACGAGCCAAATTTCAGCCATGCAATCTGGGGACGTTTTGCGCTTGGGGGAGGTTTAGGGAGAGCTTGCTCCCAGCCCGCCTCCCCATGTGGAAACACCCGGGAAGGATCCCCCACTCTTTGCTCCGATGACCCCCAGGATCTTCGGAAGATCAGGAGCGCAAGCAGCGACCTGCCACCCCTCGGCCTGGCTCCTGGCTGGCCTCCTGCTTTCCCCCGTGCCCGACCTTCATTGCCTGCCCGCGCAGGACAGAAAGTCCAGCTTGGGCTGCCACAGCTCTCAACGGACACTTCCCTCCTGCGCTACCACAGACCCATTTCTTTGGCCGTGCCCCTGATCAGGGACCCGCTTCTTCGAGAGCCGCTGGCCAATCCTAGGGCAAGAAGGGGACCCCCAAAAGACACCTTTGGGCATCCCATGAAGTGGAGTGCAGTACACCCAAGTCAGGATGGGTCAAAAGAGTCAAGATGGCAGCCCCAAATGTGCAACTGGAAGCCCCGCCCCTTTTTGCCTGCATCACCCGGGGTTCACATCTGAACCACTTTGTGGTTGCTGCTGTTGCTGTTGCAACCAGTGCCACAATCATGTGTTTGTACCCCATGGTTATTGGGGTCCATGGTTAAACACACGCAAGCACACACACAAACATACAGACATACTTAATGGTTGTGTTTAATACAATACACTTAATCGGGACAGAAGTTCAACCAGCTAAGCTTGATTCATATTAATGTTAGTATTGTCTTGTTTTTCTTTGTTTTAGCACATTTTACAGCTCCTGTCTAATTGCGTTAGGGTCCGATCCAGTATCCAAGTTGTATGAGCTGTGAGAATGCAGCCACATCTTTATGTGTCTTGTGTTTATCAATGCTTCAGGAGTTTAGTTTGTACAAAACCTGATGCAATTCTTTACCGACTCTTTAAATTCTCTAGCACGCTCAATAATCAATTAGTTTGGGCAGATGATAAAGTTACTTTAAAACGGGAAAAGTTTCTAAGAAGTAAACAATTAAAGGAAAAAGGAAACCCATCAAACAATAACAGGCTGCTAATGAATAGCAAAGCTTTAAAAGCCATTATTTCAGCGTTGAGCAAACTGTTCGAATGGAATCAAGTCAGAAATTATAAAAATATCAGTGAGGAGTGGAATGTTAGTGCGCAGCACCAAAGATGTGCAAAGTCTTTCAAGCTGGAAGAGGAATATTCTGGAGAATTCAGGACACTCTGTTTCCCCTCTGAGGATGCCCAGAAGTTAATCCGCCAAACCAGAATCAGTTCAAAATATTCGAGGAGGTCTCAGCTCTGCTCTTCCAAAAACCCAAGTCCAGAACATGTGAACCATTCCTGACATGAGGATCTGCGCTCCCCACATAGCACCCCAGACGTGTAAAAATGGGCCCCAGGCAAGGTTCCCTGAGGAAGAGATTTCCTAAGACGGGACCGCATCAAAAAAGCCTCATATTCAGATTCTTCAGCGCCCCCCCCCCGCCACTGTGTTTATCTTAGCTACTCATCCGATTTCCCACTTTTGTAAATACTCCAATATAATTTACAGTATCTTATCAATAGGAATCGAATCACACCTCCTTTTGTAGATAAAATACTTAGAAATAGTGTAGATTGAGATAGAACACATGAAGTCTATTTCAAGGGAACCCTCTTTTCAAAATGTTTGTAAAGATCATTACTACTACTACTACTACTACTACTACTATTATTATTATTATTATTATTATTATTATTATTATT